TTACAAGAATACACATGAACAAAATCACCATCCTATGAAGATAAGAAGTGAGAGGGAATGTGTATTCACGAACCAATTTCCACGCTAAGTGTGATTTCCAGCGAGCTCATGAGCTGTAAGCAAAAGCATTGATCTGCCCCAATGATCGTATCAAGGTGGCGTATCGACAGCACCGTGTTTTACTCTTTTCTGCGTTTGTCCTCCGCGGCCCTAAGAGGAATAATGGATACGTAGGAGAGGTATTGGCAGGGCCCGCACCGGCCTATTGACAATCTGTCAGCATTGATTACTTAGTCAGGCCGCCAGAGGTAAAGAGAGACACATAGACACAGAATGAGAGGGACATAGAGAGAGAAGGATGCTGAAAATAGATCAAATGTCAGATGCTAAAAATAATGTGTGTTTATTAGGGGTCAGCGTCTCATGAAGGATTCCTTCTGTGTAAGTGTTTGTTTATAATAATAACTCATTCTTCTTCAGTGGGTGTGTGTGAATATTTGAGTGTTTATTTAGCCCCGTGTTACAGAGGGGTAATGACTCTTCCGTCCCTCGCGCTATCTCTCCACGTGTGTGAGTGTGTGTGTGTGTGTGTGTGGTTACAGCGGTAGCAGAGGGTTAGGCGCTGATATAATTGTAAGCTGGTATTGATTGGCCCTCTCTTGTTATTGATGAGGGAGAATTTAATTCAACCAACTCGTTTGTCAACATGACACCGCCATTTAACAATGAACTCCCTCTCTCACACACACACACACACACACACACACACACACACACACACACACACACACACACACACACACACACACACACACACACACACACACACACACAGCTGGTTAAAGAGCAATGAGATCTAATTCTGCAATAGACTTCCTGTACTGAAAAAGATGCCTTCACTTAAATACCTACAGTATACAAGAATCACATTTAATATGTTATACTAATATACTTAGAAATATGTTACTTATTCTGACAGACTTAATCTTTTTGTATATCATTTTGAAGGATATAGTTGGAAACAGAGTTGTATGTCTCTTTATTTATCATAATGTCAGTACCAGTTGACTAATTTGATCAAAAATATCAAATAAATGTCATTTATAACGTTTTTTTTCTTTAGCTTTAGTGTGAAATATAAGAGTTAAATAATTGTTATGGCTCATGTCTGTTCATGTTTGTGATTTTTCTTTGTGTGTTACTGATCAGAAGTCCACTCTGGCCTACAATCTCACAATGTCAGACAAAGCAGCCGCAGCAGGTTGGATAGTAGTTATAAAAGGATAGATATAACAGAAGGGAAAAAGAACATATTGCTATTGATGAGGCCCTCCGTGCGCCATATTTTTCACCTCTCCTTCAAATCCACGCACACCTCCCTCCCCTTTTCCCGCGATGGACGCACAAAACACACTATATTCTACAAGAAATAATTGCTTTTGTCTGGAAGGAGTTTGGATCGGGGCTCCTCTGCGCTCGCCCCTTACGTGGAGAGGGGGGCTCTTGAGGGACAACCGGTCGTTTCTTTATACGTCTTCTCCTCGCCCTCCTCCTCGTCCTGCTCCTTTTATTTTTTCCTCCCCTCTCTCGCTCGTTGCACATGCGGATGTCATCTGTCAATGGGGAGTAGGCCTTTTTTATGGGGGGGGGGGCTCCTTTGTGATGTGACGTGTGTCTATGCATACATGACATCAAAGGATGCAGCGGGTAACGGAAATGCTCTGAAACGTTGGATACAGGCTTTAGAAGGACAAGTACTGTAGTAGGGAAGGGCCAAGCAGTAATCACAGTATTAGTAAAATACAGGGAAATTACATCACTAGCAGCACTAATAATGTTATGATTAGAAGCAGTAGTAATAGAACCATTTATACAAGTGGCTGTAGTATTACTAACAGAGTATTAGTAGTAGTAGTTGGAGTAGAAGCCGAACAATACTAACAGTAGTATTATACTAGAACCAGTAGTAATAGAAACAATGTATACAAGTGGATGTATTATTACTAACACAGTATTAGTTGGAGTAAAGGCCGGAGAAGCAGTAGAAGTCACAGTATTAGTACAAACGCAGGAAATAACACCATTAGTAGCACTAACGGTGTTAATACAAGAACTAAAATTCAAATAGCTTTATTGTCATGACCATATTGACAAACAGTATTGCCAAAGCTTTGAACAATTACAACCTCTATACATACATTTGGAATGTATTCATACATTTTGAACAGAATCATAATCACATGTTTCCTTACAAGAAAAAACAAACAACAATTTAAACATAAAAAAGCAAAGAACAATTAGAAACAACTGTGAAAAGTGACAGTAGTGTTAGTCGAAGTAGAGGTCGCAGAAGCAGTAGTACTACAATAACCAAAAAGTACTTATGCAAACTCATAAAAGTGGCAATAGTAATGGCAGTAGAGGAGTTTTCGTCGTGGTTTCACCAGCTGTACGAGTACTAAAAGAAATAATAGTAGGAATGGAGAGGTTTATTGTTCCCTAAAAGTGGTGGTAAGAAACGAGTGGCACTAGTAGTTGCATAGTAGTAATGCAGGATATACCAGTGGCTATTGCAGTCTAAATAGCAGTGGTAGTAGCAGTAACAGCTGTTTTGAAGCAACATTAGTCATGATAGAAGTGTTTTGTCTAGTACTGTAGTACCATAGGCTGTACAGTAGTATTTGAAGCATCAGTATTCGCAGTCAAATATGAAGACTTTAGTATAAGTCCGTAGCTCAGGACGCTTCTGCTAATGTGTTATCCGCATAGCATTTTCTATCTGACGTTTCCTTTCTCCTTACTGCATTAGCATTGCTAAGGAGCCCGAGGCCTTTCCATATATGAGGGCCATAATTGATCGATAACTTATTAACAGCTCAGTCCCACCTCTGAGTGTATACAGAGAGGGAGTGAGAGTGAGACATGTGTGTGGGTTTGGTCGATTTTCTTTTATTGACTGCGATATTTAGCGTATAGATTTTCCTATTTAAAAAAATCCATGTTGGCGATAATCTGGGGTGTAAATGCGCGGCGCAGATTGGGGCGGTGCATCATCTCACGGACTGTGGTGAGGAGAGGTGATGGCCGGGAGGCGCCTTCCCTCTCACACACACACACACACACACACACACACACAAACACACACACACACACACACACACACACACACACACACACACACACACACACCAACCACAACAACACACCACCGACCCTTAACAGGAAAAACAGTCAATTTAGATTCAGCTCAACTGACATTTTATGCACATTTTACGCGCATAGCCTCACTGAGCTTAAAATAATTACTAATTTAACACCCGTGGCTCTGCAGGCTTTGATAATTCACCTCTGTGAGGGGAAAATAAATACATTAGTTGAGTGCTGCTGGTGACCTTGCGTTAGCCAGACCCACGTAAATCTATATGAGAGAGGTAGGGGGAGAGAGGGGAGAGAGATCCACCTGCTGAAATATACATACAAGACCACCCCCCCACCCCCTTTGAATTCATGTCCGCGCATTGTGAAGAGCCGATCGATATGTCGGAGGCAGGCGATGATGTGATTATTGGCTTCATTATAATGAAGTAATCAGAGGATCAATTGGCCGGATCTGTGCTCGCCTTGTACGGGATTACCGCGGTCAGGAAGAGGGCGAGAAGTGTGTGTGTGTATGTGTGTATTTCCAAAAAATGTAACAGAATATAATTTTTAAATGTGTCTTCAATATATAGGCCTAGCTCCAACTTCAATGCAGATCAGAAAGTGTCAATACATGAAAATGGATGGAGAAAGTGGGGTCGTAGCGTGTTTATGAGTGTTGGGGCGAAGAGGGAGAAAAGGGGGGTAGAGAGGGGAGGGAAAGGAAAGGGGGTAAAAAAAAAGGGGGCTGGGTATCTCCGTCTGTCTCCCGGACGGAGCGCTTTGCCGTGCCAGAGAGCATTCAGTCTGCGCGGTGAAGGACCGAAACCACCGGGGTTCCCAGAATAAACTGAGGGGACGCAGAGACGCGCACACACACACGTTGGATAACACACAGAGGAGAGAGGCTGAAGAGAGAAAGAGACACACACCGGCGGATGGCGGAGCAGAGCCAAAGAAAAGACACTATACAGCGTAACAAAAAAAGAAAAGAAAGAGAGACATCGCTTCCCCCTCCTCTTTTTTTCGTGCTTCAGTGGAGGAGGAAAGGAGAAGACAGGTGTACTTATTGATATGGATTTATTCATTTATTTATCTATTGATTTTGCTTTAATTAGTGACCCGCGGTAGAGAAAGAGGGAGAAGCAGCGACGGGAGGAGAGGGAGGAGCGAAAGTCAGACAGGAGGTGCCTGCGTAGCCTTACTTTATTATTTGATTATTCCTCATCTTTTTACCAAATAATGCATTTTATTATTGTGTCGCTTTGAGTGCATGTGTCCTTCAGCAGACCAGCAAGCTACTAACCAAATCTTTTCGAGAACCAAAAAGGAGAAGCAGTGTTTCACGGACAGTTTTCACCCGTTTGGACAGACTTTTCAGCAGGAGGAGAAATCTTTATTTTTTCCGAAACCTAAACCAAAGCAAACCCTGCCGAGAGACAAACACAGAGACGATCTTTACGCACAGTCTGGACACAATACATGGAGTGTAATCGTGTCCGTGGAGAGCAGCTAGACTCACGATGGTAACACAGATCATCCTCTGTCCAGCCACCTGTGTTAGCCTGTATGGATAACCACTGATAGCTTTACACCTTCTCCCAAACCCGCCGCTGCGCGTCCTGCACATCGCTCTTTGTACGCGCGCGTGTGTGTGTGTGTGTGTGTGTGTGTGTGTTTGTCAGACTCCCGAGAAGTAAGGGGAACAATATCCGTCTGCATCCCAAAGCCATTCAAGAGAAATGGGAAACCGCTGACGGAAGAAAAAGCCAAGTTTTTTTCAAAGCATCCACGCTTCTTTTACAACCCAGCGGTCCGTAAACCTGGAAAGCATACGAAGAAAAGGCCAAAGAACGACGGAAGCACGACGGATGAGAAAAGAAGAAAAGTGAGACTAAAATAAAAAACAAAAAAACAACGACCCCCAGGTCGACAGAGGACCATGTTTGTCCCCCTGCCGGTCCCCTTCGTCTTTCAGAGAACAGCGTCCGACTTCAGCGCCTGGAGACTCAAGTCCTCGCTGGCTCCGCGGTCCAGCCCCGGTAAGACTGCTTTTACCGTGCACCTACACAAAGAATAAAACCCGGTCATGGTTTTTATTTTCATTTCCTCTCATGTATAAACCCATATATAAAATTATATACAGAACATTTTGTATATTTTCTTATTTCAGTTTCAAATGTAACGGTCCAGAAAACTTGGATGCACATCACTTAAATAAATTACGTGGGTTAAATTGTAATCCTTTCTATAGTTTACTTAATATGACACAGTATACATATCAAAACAAGCATCTTTCCAATGTATAAAAGTTATTTTATATGCAAGATATGCAGAAATTCACGTGTGACACAGTTTTTCTAGTGAAATATCTTTAATAACATTTATATTGTTTTATTAGTAAATATCTTATCTTGTCATATAAATTACAAATGCTTTTCTCGTTGATTTCCATTTGTTGCTTCGCTATGTACAGCAATCTACTTTAAATTATCAGAAGAAGAAGAATTGGAAGGCTTAGTATCTCTAGAATTCGTTTTTTTTCCATTACCATCTTTTTACTCTATCTCCGCTAATAGAATTAATTTATCACGAACAAGGCAAGAGAATTTAATTAAAATACTTACTCGTGCATAAATCCAAAAGTGTAAAACACTCCCAAAATTGGATGCATGCATATCTGGCTCATTAGCATCCATCACAGTGTCACAGAGGCGCCACACTCTCTCCTCCTCATCTTTTTCCCTCCTTTCATTCATGGCAAATCCATCCATCTCAAAACTCCATCTGCCTCCTCTCTTCGCTCCTCTCCTCTCCTCTCCTTCACTCTTTCTCGCTCAGGTTAGCCTGGAATATTCATGGTCATCTATATCGATCAGAGGGTATTGATCTCTGTGGCCACTTTGGGAAAACAAGAGTTCAGTCAAGTTGAGGGAGAAACTTTGGATGACGTGAGGAAAAAATCACATAAGGACCTATTCCAAATGACTAAAATTCAGAAAACAGTGTCCCTTAATACATCTTTTATGACTTATTTGTATTCATAGTCAAACTAATTATACTTTAATTGGCCTATCACTACAGGGTGAGTTTGTCAATCAATAGTTACTTACAATAACGACCTTATCATGCCTTTATGCTGCGCTTTAATACCCGATGATCGCTCTAATATTGCTTGAGTGACTATCAGTGTGATCAATAACGGAAGTGCTCTTTATGGTATTTTTCTCATCTCACTATAATGTACCTTTAATATCTCTTAAGGGCTTTATCGGTTATGCTGGTTTGGTGTATTATTCCAAAATCCATATTAGTTCCTACAGTAAAAGGGTTATAAAGAAAAAAGGAAATGACACTAAGATAATATTCTTGTTTATATGAATGGAAAGCTTTGGTTTTCTTTCCACCTGTGGCAGTTTTAAAACTCAGTATGTGTGACTTGCTGGTCATTGTTTCAACAACATATGTGTTCATGTTTGAGGGTGACAGTGCCACTGGCTCCCCTTGTCCCCCATCCCCACTGCTTTAATCCAGTCAGGCGGAAATTCCAAATGACAGATGTGGGGGGTGGTGTATGTGCATGTTGAGCATTGCTGGTAATTCAGCCTATCACCTTAAGTAGGTGTCAGGAGGAGAAAAACGGTGGAGGTTTTTAATGAGAGCCGCTCCTGCTCCCGCCTTTGACACATAACCACTTGCTTCTGTTTTGGGAAGGGGAGGGGGGACAGGGTCAATTTCTATGTTGGTCCTTTAAGAAATTAAAGTGATGAGAGGACAAGGTGGAGGCTGGGTCAGAATGAATGATTGGATGAATAACAGGATGAGCGAGTGCATAAATGAATAATGAATGAAAGAGAAGGTGAACGTTTCAGTTAGAGAATTAACAGGTGAAGGAATCAGTGAATTGAATTGAAAGAAACAGTGAGTAAGAGGGAGAGTGAAAGAATTATTAAACACAGTGATTGAACAGATGAAACGCTATCGATCCACTGGAATAATCAATCATTTAATGAACAGTGTGAAATAATGAATAATGACTGAATGTGTGCTGGAATAAATAAATGATTTAACAAATGAGAAATGAACGTATGAGTGAGTGAGCTAGCAAGTCTTCCTCTCTCATGTGGAAGTGCCTCTAAGGAATGTTTTTTTATTCAAACATGTTTGTGTGATAAGCAGCCAATACACACAAGAGAAATAAACTTCGTAGGAGAGCAAAGGCCAACACTCATCCTTCATTTCCCCGTCTGAATCTCCTTCTCTTTTCTCCGTGTTTCATCTTTGATCTCTGGAGAGAAGGAAACTCTGAATCTCCTGTTTCTCTTTCTATTTCTCTCATTTCTGTAGAGTGTTCACTTGACACGAAAGCCTTTCAGTAAAATGCAAACTCTCCTCTCTTTCTCTCTCCCCTCTTTCCGTCGTTCCCTATGGACAGAGAGCTTGTTGAATTGGATTTGCCTGGTGTGGTTTGCCCGGGCCCCATAAGCCACTTTAGCTAAGTCTGTTACCCACAATTCTCTGTGTCTCTCTGATCCGCGCCTTTGACCAAAGGTGTGCATGTGTGCATCGGTACGATTGCCTGCACCTGTGCGCGTGCACGTGTCTGGGTGCGTTAGTGTGAGCAAAGACGGCGGGTGTCAAAAGTGTAAGACGAGGTGAGTGAGGTTCAGTGGAGGAAAGGGGGGGAGAGAGAGGTCCTAAACAGCAGACGCTAGCAGACAGTGGTTCTACAGTGGATCTAAAGTGAGGGCTTATGGGTATTTTTGTCAGCTCGACTCTTTAACACTACAGCGTTGAGACTGCTGGCCTCAGCTCAGCCTGGCCTTAGACACATCGCCTCAGTAAAACGCTTTTAAAACAGCCACTGGATGGAAACTGTTATCGCAGAGGGAAAGTTTTATTTCTTCATTTACTTGCACAGTATTATTTCTTTGTACTATATCTCAGAATGTTTTCTTCAGTACCACTGAACAGTCACTTTATTTCCTGCTAAAACCAATTAAATCTTCACTAGTCTGATTTTTAGTATTTAAAGGTAATTAAGATTAAGCTACACCTCTCCAACTACCAGTCCACACTCTGTATTTTTGGTCCGAACTGGACTTGAACCGACGACCCTTCAGTTCCAAAGCCAAATGCCTATAGACTACTGCTACCCCCAAACGTTATATGACTCTCTACAGTGTTTCCCATACATTGATTCATTTGTGGCGGGCCGCCACAATTAAATATCGGTGCCCCCACAAATAGAATCAAATTATGTGGGAAACACTGCTCTAAATTATGTTTTGGGAGGTCCCTATAATACAGAAAATATCATTAATGTGTATGCAAATGAAAGATTTTAAGGATATTGAATCTCTGCAATTAATGGATTACAAAAATATATAGTAATTGATCAAATATCAACACATTCACCTTTTTATTAAACCAGCAGACAGTGCTCCTATATGGCTACAAACATTATTAGTTATTAAGTATTCAGAAAAAAGCATCAGGTTTACAAATATCATACCTAGCAAATCCAAAGTCATGAGCACATTTGCTTGAAATTAATTCAACTAAGAATGCTTAGAGCCTTCTTAGTTGAAGGCTCTGCATAATCCTTCTTGAGGTTTTAATTTCTCACTATTGAAGAGTAAGTATAAGCAGTATACTGAATTCGGGTAAACAGCATTAGAGAGATAAGAGATGTGGTAAAGCAGCTGGAAGAAAAACTATCACATCCTTTGTCAAAAGCACAGCTACTCATTGAATTCTCTCTCGTTTGCTGCTCATTAATACTCTGATGCTCCTCAGTTCATTCTGAGTGTCAGATCTTTGCCACAAAGACTCTAAAAGCTTGTCTTTTGGGCCGCTCAGAGATCTGACCAGACCTGTACAGGGACCTGTAGCTGCCGCTGCTCACTCCCTCTCTGCACCACAACAAAGGAAATCTAAATGCTCTTTTATTTTATGTACACTGCTGTAAAATCCTCCAGGGCCACTGTGGCCCATATAAAACTGAGAGCTGTCAAATTCACAGAGTAGGCACGTGTCCGGATTGAGAGGGATGGTTTATTTATGTTGGCTACTCTGAGAGGCCTCTCGGACTTGAAGTTATTCAGCACAGTGTCGATTTATTTTATTTTATGTTCTACTTCCTGTTTCTCTAGTAAGTTTACATCTTAGTAACTTAGTGATAAAAAAATCATGATACACCGTAATCAAAAAGAGTTAAGAATATCATCTATGTGGTAATAAAAACAAAACAAAGTCCGTAATTGTAAATGACCACACCTTGTAGAACATACTGAAACAATAAGGCAATACGGCAGTTGTGCTATTTTATTCTATTGTCTAATAACCATGCAGAGGAACTTTTCAAAGCACAAACCGCCTGCCCACACACACTCACACATGCAGACACAACAAGCTCCATGCTGCTCGATAACTACCTCTTCCTCCACCCAGGTTCTTCACCTTGCCGTGCCCAGTAGGGGGTTGTGTTGTCTGGGCCACGCCAAACTGTCCCTGAGCCAAGGCCAATGTCCGGATTAATTGGCTGTGTATGTGTGTGTACTTGAGTGTATATCTGTGTGTATGTGCAAGCATGGCAGACGCTTTGTTCAGGCTTTATTCTTGATACGTCTGTGCATGTGTAGATATATACAGTATCAGCAGGTGTCGGAAAGAGGTGTGTATAACAGGAAGTAGGACTAAGTCTTTGCACAGTTCTATGTATATACCTTATGTCTGCAGCTGTCTGCACATGTTTGGGGTTTAGAGGCAGAAAATCCATGCATTTATGCTTATTTGTCAAAGTGTGTGTGTACAAAACAGGTAGAGGATTCAATAATTGCACGTTGAGGTCAGTTATGGATCTGTCCGCCTTGTGTGGTTTATCTGGAAACCACAAGCTCACAACCGCCCATTGTGTGAGTGGTTTTAACCTTCCACCGCCATTGATTGGCCAGCATTGACTACTCTTCCCATCACCCCATTTGTGTACATGTGTGTTTTGACTGTTTATGTGTGCACGTGAATTTGTGGTTAACTTGTG